TCGTTGTCGGTGATAAAAAGCAAGCACTTCACCTGTACAGAGTACAGACGGACCGTCACCGTCTAAAATTCGGAGCTTCGTCGGCGTTAATCTCCGCCTTCCGGTAGTGTATTCAGATCCAAATCAACTCTTTTATGGCTATCCTCTACTTCACCGATCTGAGCATTTTTCTGAAGATATTTCACTGCCACGTTCATCCTCCGTAAGATCGCGAAGAATTCGTTAACTTCCGCCTCCGATGGCGGCGGCGGCTTCGATACTACGGTGTTCGCCTTCACAGAACTTTCTCTCTCATGTCTGCTTCGATCACCGCCGTTGTCAGTTCTCTTCCGCTTCTTGTGCCGGTCCATCAGTGTAGCCTCACCGTTGTCGATTTTAATTTTATTCTCTGCTCTCTAGAATAGTCTATGAAGAAGTCTATTCTCTATGAATGGTGGTTGATAATTATTAATGCGTTACACTGATTTCACAAATATGCTGATGTCAGAAATGTGATCTCATGGGAAATGGCATTATCATTTTTGATTTTTTGATGCTTCAACAATGCGCAACTTGTAAAATTCACCCACGCGCTTCCTTCTGTGCGTCACAAAACAGCTCCAGTTTGGTACATAAACTCGGAGAATGACAAAATTAGTCCCTTATGTTTTGAGATTGGATCAAAATATTATGCTTTTAATAAAACTAATGAGTTTTGAAATATACATGAGAGCCTAGAAAAAAAAATATTATATTTATTGAAATGAAATATACATGAGAGCCTAGAAAAAAAAATATTATATTTAACAGTTTAAGAATTGAAATGCAGTTCAATTCGAACATATCTAATTTCATATCCTATTATATAATACCTGTTAGGTGATCGGGTGTTTGAGGAAGCAGTTAATCAGACTGCAATCACAATTACTAAATTTTTATTATTTATAATTTATTTTTGGTTCAATCAAAAATACCGTTCAATTTAATTGAAAAAGTAACATCTTTGTTGTTTGGTGTGCTCTCGCACATTTTTTAGCGTCTAAAATATGTGGAATTCGAGATTGAAAGGGCAAAAAAAAATATTAACAATTTTAAAAGGCACGTTAATTTTTTTTTTAAATCAAGAGGGAGAGCGATTTTGAAAAGAAAACTAAATTTTGCCCTTTTGCCGATCCACAGATTGAGTATTTAATATACTGTATTTTGTATTAAATAATTTTATAATTAAAATTGCCAAAATATATGGTCAATTGCTTTTAGTTCTACTCGATTGATCTTTACGCTCCTTGTAAGTCGTGGTAGTTCTATTATTTTTCGGTGGTCGCACTTTATATTTTTCTATTTTTCTTCACTATTAATAAATGACCGATATTCCCGGGATAAAAAAAAAGACAGAGACTCGATGAGTCAATATATTTTATTATAATAGAAAACATGGTACATTCACGTTATTATTATTATAATTATTATTCCATTAAAGAACTTAAAAGCACCCATACCACTACGTCTCTTTAATCAAAACACTTACTGGTACATACTTTAAATATATTTTTTTGAATAAATAATCGACGACTTAAAAAGATCCATGTTATAATCAAGGTAAAGTGATAAGAAATTGAGAAGACATTTTTTTTTTGTGGAAATTATGATTCTATACAAAATAAAGTTACTGATTTGAAAATTTGACTTTTATTCTCTGTTTTGATTGGTGGGATAAGGATAATAATGTTGAGAAATTTCATGAGGTTGTTTTAACTTATCATTTTAGTCTCCAACTCATAGAATAACCTTGATTATTTCATCTCAGGGGCGGAGCTACATTGTATGAAGGAGGCTCATCCAAATCCCATCGCCGGATAAATTATATTATTTATATTTATTTAAAATTAGTTTATATGTATATAGAGTAAAATAGTATACCAAAATTTGCATGATTTCATTAGGATCCTTACTCTAAAGTACTTTTTATGCTGATAGCTCCTTTTTTTTCAAATTAATTTTACAAGATTTTGTTCGCACACTTAACTGGTTAGCTTCGTTGTTTAAGGACAAGGGCATATATACTCCAGTTGTGCGATTTAAACCTGATATACAATTTTTTTATATTAATAACTCACATATAACCTTATCGTTATATAAATAATCTAAATATAAATCACAAAGTTATAGCTGATTGAAATCAATTATAGATCTCCAGTATAAGCTCATGATCATGGGCCTAAAAGACTTGCCAAGGCCTTCGGTTTCACTCCATAACTGTAATAAGGAAATGAAGCCCCAGTCTTAAAATTACTGAAATTAAGGAAATATTACCTAAATATACATTTTCTTTTACTATAATCTCTAAAGTTCCTATCATTTTATAAAAAATCAAAAAATATATCATTTTTCTCTCGCTGATACATTACTCTCCTATCGAATACATCCTTCACTTGCATATTCAGAAATCTTTTGATGTATTCAAAATCCATAAATTTTAAGATATTTTAGTAATTTGAAAAAGAGTTAAAAAATAATGTAATCAACTATTAAAATTATGAATTTTAGGTAAATTACATGATTAAAATCCTAATTAATTTGAAATAGCAGTAAAACATACTAATAATTTGAAAATTTATTTATAGTATCGGATACGACGAATACACTTAATATTCACAGGGATATAATTGGACAAAGACATCATATATACATGGATACATATATTAAGAATACGTATAAAATAATGTATTTTCATTATATTATCATGCACATGAATAAAGTATAACATTCCGGCTACAATAAATGCACTTATTTATGTGCACAAACTCAATATAGTTTGATATGTTTTAAAATTAAAATAAAATCTTGTTATGTTTACTCTTTTTTTTTTCTGACAGAAAATTCATATAAAGTTTCCTAACATTATTGGTGGAAATTTTTGTCACATTACGTGAGGTTTATTAGTCAAACAGTCAATCCACGTGCTTACCCTCGTGTCAATAATCACGTTAATTATATACTATAGTATTTTTTAAAAAAAATCCGTTAAGGTAAATTTGATTGGCATTACTTAGAAGTATACATTGCAATTTCCCAAATGCATTCACCGTTTAAGAAATTCCATAATTTATGGTTGGATTATTTCTGTGTAATGTGATCAAGTTTTTTTTTTAAAAAAAATAATGCTCGAGAGCACTTTTGAGGCATAAATCAAGCACAAAATATTGTTCTATTGACAGGAGCGTTTTTAAAATATATTAGTCAGACATAATACACTACTCTTCAAAACTTTTTGTAAAAGCATTTTTCATTAAAAAGAAATATTATTCAAAATAAACTGATTTTGAAAGTCGTAAGTGATACGATTTAAGGTAATATGATGGTAGTAGACAGAGGTGAAGCTAATATTTTTGATAAGAGATTAAAAATTTGTAGCAATAGACAGCTGAAGGAATTCAATATCTACTATATATATATATATATAATTATTTTAATCATATAAAAATAACATAATTTTTCGTCGAAGAAGGTTCGAATGAACCCCTTTGTTCAAGGTAGGTCCGCCTTGGTGGTGAAAGAGTATTAAGTATACTCTCGAGTCTTTGACTAATGGGTTACCATATGTTGATTAGTAAGACCTGAAATTGAAAAAATAAACAATATATATATATATATATTAGGTGAATTTTTTTATTTTTTAAGAGTCAAATAATTTAAATTTGTTTAAAAATTTGTAAATGAAATCTTTAAATTTTTAATAATAAAACTTGTATATATATATATATATATAAACTATATATAAGTATATAA